TTAAATGGAAGACGTTTGGGATGATCAGAACCCTTCCTAGAGCTGGCCGTCCGGCCAAACTGAGCTATCGGGGGCGAAGAGCCTTGGTGAGAGAGGTAAAGAAGAACCCAAAGATCACTGTGGCTGAGCTCCAGAGATGCAGTCGGGAGATGGGAGAAAGTTGTAGAAAGTCAACCATCACTGCAGCCCTCCACCAGTCGGGGCTTTATGGCAGAGTGGCCCGACGGAAGCCTCTCCTCAGTGCAAGACACATGAAAGCCTGCATGGAGTTTGCTAAAAAACACCTGAATAAGATTCTCTGGTCTGATGAGACCCAGATAGAACTTTTTGGCCTTAATTCTAAGCGGTATGTGTGGAGAAAACCAGGCACTGCTCATCACCTGTCCAATACAGTCCCAACAGTGAAGCATGGTGGTGGCAGCATCATGCTGTGGGGGTGTTTTTCAGCTGCAGGGACAGGACGACTGGTTGCAATCGAGGGAAAGATGAATGCGGCCAAGTACAGGGTTATCCTGGACGAAAACTTTCTCCAGAGTGCTCAGGACCTCAGACTGGGCCGAAGGTTTATCTTCCAACAAGACAATGACCCTAAGTACACAGCTAAAATAACGAAGGAGTGGCTTCACAACAACTCTGTGACTGTTCTTGAATGGCCCAGCCAGAGCCCTGACTTAAACCCAATTGAGCATCTCTGGAGAGACCTAAAAATGGCTGTCCACCAACGTTTACTATCCAACCTGACAGAACTGGAGAGGCTCTGCAAGGAGGAATGGCAGAGGATTCCCAAATCCAGGTGTGAAAAACTTGTTGCCTCTTTCCCAAAAAGACTCATGGCTGTATTCGATCAAAAGGGTGCTTCTACTAAATACTGAGCAAAGGGTCTGAATACTTAGGACCATGTGATATTTCAGTTTTTCTTTTTTAATAAATCTGCAAAAATGTCAACAATTCTGTGTTTTTCCGTCAATGTGGGGTGCTGTGTGTACATTAATGAGGAAAAAAAATTAACTTAAATGATTTTAGCAAATGGCTGCAATATAACAAAGAGTGAAAAATGTAAGGGGGTCTGAATACTTTCCGTACCCACTGTATATATATTTTTACTGACTTTTCAGTTTATTGTATTTCTCTCTCTTCCACAGCTATTCATTGTCAGACCTTCACTCAGTCTCAAGATGTAGTAAAAAGACCAGGTGAATCTTTTCGGCTGGTCTGTACTGCCTCTGGATTTACATTCAGCAGCTACAGGGCAGCTGTGGTGAGACAAGCACCTGGTAAAGGACTGGAATGGATTGCATACATCAGCACATCCAGCTCTCCAATCTACTATTCCCAGTCAGTCCAGGGCAGGTTCACAGTGTCTAGAGATGATTCCAGCAGTCAACTGTACCTACAGATGAACAGCCTCAAGACTGAAGACACTGCTGTGTATTACTGCGCTAGAGAGTCACTGTGAATGAGTTCAGTATCAAAGCAATACAAAAACCACCACCTTTGCTGTTGACTTCACTTATGCTCCAGATGTCAAGCAGTCTTTGTTCACTGTTTCAGACATTATTCAATGAATTTGTTTTCTTTACCAAGAAACAGACAGTCTAATTTATAAATTCTAAAGAAACACAAATAATTCTTAATAAATCTGAGCAGCGGCCTTAGAGCATGCCTCATTTTATTTTTTGTAAAATATCAGTACATTAACAGCTCTGACCAACACTTTAATGGCAGTTGCGTTAAACTAAGAGTCAGATTTGTAACCGGAAGGTTGTGGGTTTAAGTATCAGTTCTGAACAGTGCTCTCTTCCACTCACAATACCCACTACTGAGGTGCCCTTGAGCAAGGCACTGAACTCCCAATTGCTCCCAGGTACTAAAGCAAGAATGGCTGCCCACTGCTCTGGGTGTGTGTGTTCACTACCCTCTGCAGTGAGTGTGCACTTGGATGAAATAAATGCAGAGCACGTATTCCGACTATGGGCAACCATACTTGGCTACACATCACTCACTTACTTACTTACATTAATATGTGCCACAGTATACATTAAATTTAAGCAGTGGCGGGCCGTGCATTTTACACCTAGGCCTTCAGTGGTGTCCTACATGAATTAATCCATCTCTTCATACCATCATAATGATGCCACGGCTATAGAAACCATAAATATTACACAGTAATGCAGTATAACAGGGCACTACATAACAGACTATATATATATATATATATATATATATATATATAATTTTATTATTATTTGATGTATTAGCTTCAGCTGCTAGACAAATAGCAAATTTCCTGCTGTCAAAATTGGATTTTTCTGTAATAAAGATTTTTTGAATCTATACTTCTAAAATCCTGTGCACTTTTCTAAAATACTGTACATTGCAAGAAAATGTGCAATGCAGAGGAGGAGTTAATGGGAAACAGTAATGTGTTTTCGTCTTAAGCTGCAATAAGCTTTGTAATGTGTCTATTTGCTGACAGCATAGATCATCTCTCCTCTGAAGTTTCACATCTTGGACAACAAAATGACTACAGTATATGCAAATACTCCATCTGCTCCATGTACTAAAGTGAAGTGTGTCTGAGGCACAGAAGGAGAAATTCACATCATTTTTAATCATGATCTTCTCATCAGCTCTGCTATTGCTGGTGGCAGCTGCATCCTGTGAGCTTGACTGATTTTTTATTCAATCTATAACAGTGAAATAAGCTTCTGTTAACAGACGTTTTGAGACATAACTAATAACACATTCTTTCATTGTTATTTTCAGGTGGAGTTTTCTGTGTTGAGCTCACTCAACCTCCATCTTTGGTTGTGAAACCTCAAGAATCATTCTCTATCTCCTGCAGGATTTCAGAATCAAGCTATTGCATTAATTGGATCCGTCAACCCACTGGAAAAGCACTGGAATTGCTCGGATATCTTTGTAATGGTGGTGGCACTAACATTAAAGACTCAGTGAAAAACAAGATCAGTTTTACCCAGGACACGTCCAAAAACACAGTGTTTCTACAGGGAAATCATTTTCAGACTGAGGACACAGCTGTGTATTATTGTGCAAGACAGTCACAGTGACTAAACAAGCCACAACTCTGTACAAAAACCTGAACACATGAATCAGAGATACGTAATACCAGGGGCATTTTTATCCTTTCATCAGCCCCACTCTCTCTTTTTTTTTATACAGTTTGGAAAAAAGGACAAATAGTCTTTACCTGAAGTACAGAGTCATTTAAGCAGCACACACAATAAAGAGCTGCTTCGTTGCTGATAAACAAAAAAAGATGTCTGCAAGTTTTGTTTCTTATTGTAGATTTTAGGTAAATATCCACCTAAATTCAGTGCTCTTATTGTTATATTTCTCATAAAAAATCCCATCACTATTTCAGTGTGAGAAGCCGCTGCAAACAATTCAGTGCCTGAGTGAACATTGATGAATTTGGCATCACCAGTACTGTGGTGAAAAAAAACACACACATGATTGTCACACATAATGCTCTGATTGTAATATTATCAGAGAAAATTATTCTCAGGTCAGCATACAGTAATCTCCATTAACACAAGGATTTATTGATCCATTCACACTTTTCATCCATCTGAAAATGCTTTAAAAATATTAAAGTTTATTAAAATTTAGGAAATATGTTCTCATAAATGCCACATATTCAAATTTATTGTCACAAATTTAATGTTACATATTAATTTATTTATGTAGAAATATCTAGGGATGTGCCAAACAAATAGGGTTGCCAACTTCAGAAAAGGAAAATAAGGTACAATCGTGGTTTTTCATAGAACAATAAGGGACAGAATAAGGGATACGCACACAGGCCTATTATATATATACATATGTATACAGATGCATCTCAATAAATTAGAATGTCGTGGAAAAGTTCATTTATTTCAGTAATTCAACTCAAATTGTGAAACTTTTTACAACAAACTGCGTTGATGCTTCGAAGATTTTGACACAGTGCTCTACTTCACCATCTGGTGGTCAATAAAAATTCTTACACCAACTGTATCATTTAGATGTTTTGTTCATTGGGATGTCATTGTAAGGTTTAATTGTCTATTTAATAAGCATGTGTCATAGCAAGACGGCATGTGTGTGTGCAGCGATAGAGTTCCCCATATTTATTGTATTTTGCACAATACAATGACAATAAAGACTTTATTTTCTTCATTTTTACTTGCATCAAACTTGTGTCTTTTCACATTAATAGAATGTTTAATACGCCAATAAATTAGACCTACGTCATTTTTCATTGCACAATTGTTGTGTCTTTCTTACAAAAGAACACAAACATACACATTGTTAAAAAACACAAATGCACTAATACAAATACAGTTATTGCATTATTGCCAATGTGAGCTGTTGACAACATAGGATGGCATTTACAAGAAGCAAAAATGTTTGTGGTTAAGGAAGGACTTTTATCCTTTTTGGGAACAGTGGTTGAGCCCGCAAGGTGTTTTAATTTTCATTCAGTCAACAGTTCATTCACATGTCATTGTTTTTAATAGTAGTACTATAATTAACAACGATACACCACATAAAAACACTACATACATATAGGCATGCTGACTGAAATAACTATAACATTGCACTAAATGGATCGTGGGTATGGGACAGCGTGACGTGTGTCGACACTAGGTGTCGATCTACCCATCCCTACAAATATCACTAGCATGACGTGTCAGTGAGGTAATGAAGCTTCGTTTTCACAGGTCACGTGACAGCCTCATTTCACACTGTTTCGAAGCACTAGTGTGTCAAAAACTCGACACGTGTGTCGACACTAGGTGTCGATCTACCCATCCCTACAGATATCTCTTTTTCATACATGGGTACAAAGGAGAATTGAGACTGGAGGAGGAGTTCATGCAAAACTGTGATGTTTATCTTTCATAAGCTGTTGTGCCACCAAACTGTTTCTGTTCACTGACTGTATGTGGTTTTTGTTGAAGAGCATCAATAGCAATGGCAACAATAATTAATACAGTCTTAATATTACTATTTTTAAATGGTTTGTTATTTTCTAAATAATAATAATAACAACACTGTATAAATGCTTTTAGCAAGCACTAGTTATGTTTTTTTTCTGACTTTTCAGTTTATTATATTTCTCTCTCTTCCACAGATATTCATTGTCAGACCTTCACTCAGTCTCAAGATGTGGTAAAAAAACCAGGTGAATCTTTTCGGCTGGTCTGTACTGCCTCTGGATTTACATTCAGCAGCATCTGGGCAGCTGTGGTGAGACAGGCACCTGGTAAAGGACTGGAATGGGTTGCAACTATTGGCACATCTAGTTCTCCAATCTACTATTCCCAGTCAGTCCAGGGCAGGTTCACAGTGTCCAGAGATGATTCCAGCAGTCAACTGTACCTACAGATGAACAGCCTCAAGACTGAAGACACTGCTGTGTATTACTGCGCTAGAGAGTCACTGTGAATGAGTTCAGTGCCAAAGCAATACAAAAACCGCCACCTTTCCTGCAGGGCCGTGCAGAGACCTTTGGAGGGGCAGGTGCTCAAAGTATAAAAGGGGCACATGGAGCACGGCTTTGAATAGGGCTGTGCTCCTTGCTGAGACGTGTATCGAAACGGATGCTTCTGTATTGATAGCAGCAAATGCCATGACACAGTTTTGAAAAAGAAACACAGCACAGAAAAGACCATTTTAAGTTAAAAAGTTAAAGAATTTTTTCTTTGCACCTCTTAATCACTCTGGAATTAGAAACGGAATTATATTAGGCCTATTATTATTATTATTATTATTATCGAGTTTACAGGGTATGGTGGTTTTGCTGCTGTAAACACTACTGTTGTTCTTGTAGAAAAAAATTTAGAGGATTAGGATTTTAGAAAAGTGGGCAAAGCATAACGTGCACACTTACCACTTATGTGGATTTTAGAAAAGTGGGCAAAGCATAACGTGCACACTTACCACTTATGTGGATTTGAGAAAAGTGTGCAAAGCTTAACGTGCTGCACTTATTTAGTTTTCCAAGCATCTGTTACAGATACCCGGAAGTACTGGGCCAAACGGGAGAGGCAAGCTCAAATACAACCCTCAAAGATGAGGGGAGCACTGCCCGAGACAGCATTTACACAGGAAGGTTCTCGTAATGCCACCTATGCCTCCCGCTCGATGCCTCAGCAAGAGGGGATATCCTGGTGATCGGGGAAAACCCCTCAGGGCGACCCAGATACAGTAGACCAGTCAGGGTAGCATGAAAGCGTAACCCCAGCCCG